GCCTGGGGAACCCTGCGAAGAGGAGAGACAGAGGCAGCAGCTCAGAGGAGGAACCGGGGAAAGGGCAGACCCGGAGTGAGAAGGCATGTCGGCTACAAATCGTGTACACATGCAAGATGAACTTGTGAACACACGTCTGACTTGGCAGATGTATAAAGATCATGTATTTATAACACACTCCTCAAACATCTTACTGAAATGAGCAATTTAAATGACTTTGATTTAAAAATGAGGCTTTCAAGATTTTTTTTTTTTTAACCTTTCCAATACTATCTACCGAAAAAGCAAATGCAGCTCCCTGGGAGACAGCGTTCTCCGCAGACTGAAGTCTTGTGTTTTTGATTGTTGCCTCCAAAAGCAATCTTTTCTCTCCATTTTTGCCCTGCAACAATCGAAGCAGCTGGGAGCTGGAGCTCAACTTTATTAGTGATTTAAAACACACCCTTGGAAACTAAGCTGGCTTTTTTTGTCCATCCAGGTGGGAAGCATGTTCCAGCAAATGGGAACAACACTTAAGAAAGTTCTCAAACAGATAATGCCCTGAGAGCTCCACTTCAAAAACTCTTCTACCAGTCATCTACCCAACAAAGGCCAGGGTCACCTGTGAGAAACTAAGCTTCCATATAAAGACAAAGATAAAATAGTTCAGCTGCCAAGATTCGACATCTTTAAAAATGCCTTTTCAATCTTTAACTTTTGTCTGCTCGGTTGTCTAGCAACCAAGTGCAGAAAAGACACTCCACCCAAAACAAAGCGAAACAATACAGACACTTCGCTGCAGGAGTGTGTGTGCGTGTGTGCTAAGATTCTCAGCGTGCAAGGATAGAAACTCGCCTTTACACAATTAAAACAGAAAAGGTCCCCATCGTAGATGGCAGGGAAGGAAGTCCGGAGTGAGTAAAAAGCAACTTGAAAATGCGTAATGCGGGCTGAGGGTATAGTTTCCACACACCGGGCTAAAGCAAGGTTTACACTCTTAAGTAATAAAAACAAACCATTAAGCTCAGCCCAGCACTGTCAGGAAGTATAAAACAGTTCTTGAAACTTTGCAGTTACTATACAAAAGCTTTTCATAAACTCTGTTTCCTGATCTTCATTAAACGTTCACATCACGTTGCCATGGGGCAATTAGCTTGCCTCCTGAAATCAATAAAAAATCAACAATTTGGAAATAGTTGTACAGTAAAATAGTTCAATAATTATTCTCTCATAGTGTTGTGGCCAAGCAGTTCCAGTGTAAATGCAGTCCAGATGAGATCCTGCTCCTTACGAGGGAAGCTTGAAGCAAATCGCTGCTTTGCAGAGAGATCTCCTTGTCAGAACCCACTGCAGCTAGGGGGCAGGGGGGCCCAGGGCGCAGGGCGGACGCAGGCTTCAAGTGGTGCTCAAGGCAGGGTCTGGCGTCCTGCTTAAGCACCTCAGAGGGACTCATTTCAAAAGTTAGAGACCTAAACGAAATGATGAACCCAAAAGATAAAAAATTAGGCGCCCCACACTCAGCATTTGGATCCCAGACAGGAAGAAATCAAATTTTTTTCCCTGGGGTATATATATATATCTTCAAGGGAAAATATATGTATGTGTATATATATATATGTGTGTGTGTGTGTTTGTGTATATATATATATATGTGTCTATATTATATATAAAAATATAAGGGGTGTGTTTCAGATTACGAATTCACTCATTCCGGCATTTCTTCAACAAATATTCAAATCTGAGTTGCTTGGAAGCAACCTTCATAGTGCTATCCTAAAAAGTAAAATCGGGCACTAAACGGATGACCCTCCTAGGACATTTTGCTAAAAAAGAGTGGTGCCAACACCAAGCTCTTTCTTTGCCGGCCCCCTTTGCAGAGGGAAACCAATCCTCCGGGCTTTTTCTGGTCTGAGCCCATTCCCCCCAGCCCCTTCATCAAAGCCAACCTCAGCCTCACCAATTCCAATATCCATTAAGTTAACCTGCAAACAGCAGCTTGGGCAGCTTTCTATCACCCTCTGGGCTCAATGGTGTTGTACACTGAACTGTTTTAGAACTTTAAAAAAAAACCTCAAGCATCATTTTTAGTATAAACAAATGCTGCAAATGTATGACATCTATTTGCTGCCTTCAAAGGGAAAACTTGTAACTCAGACGCTTGGCACTAAGATCACACGGGCTCAACTCCGTGGACTGACTTAAGTGTTAAACTTTTTAAAAGTACGTTCAGGGCTTGCACCTGCTCCCCCATGCACATAGATGTACTGACACGTATTTGACTAAACTGACTGCGTACATGCCCAAGCAAGCAAGCCGAGCCGATTTTACAAGATAAGCAACCAAGTGTTTTCATGTCTGAGGGTGGCTAGAACACAAAATTGCCAGTCATCTTGCGGGGGAAAAGAATGCCTTTGAAAAAAATATGTAGGGCACCATTTCAGAGATGGTGAAATGTGTTCAGATGCCTCCTGTACACGCGTTTTGTTTTGCCATTAAGTACTGCTTCTTACAGAGGGGCCTAAACTTTGTCCAGCTTCCTGCTGCTGTGATCCAGGAGATATTTAATATTAGAGCTTTGCCACTCGAAGGATAGTCCTTGGGCCAGCAGTGAACAGCTTCACCTGGGAGCATGTTAGAAATGCAGAGGCTCAGGCCCCACCCCTGACTCATTGAAACAGAACCTATATTCGAACATGATGCCAAGGGGTCTGTCCACACGTTAACGCTGCATTCTCCTTAGGCAGTACTGGGGACTTGTATGCACACTAAACTCTAAGAAGTTTAATTTAGAGCATCGGTCCCTCAATTTAGTAGAAATTCACTTTGAAGTTTACAGGGTAGGGAGATGGCCAGAAAACTCTGCCCTGGAGAATGCCATAAGGCTGTAATTTATGTCAGCAGAGTGGAGGAAAGAGGAAGAGTAATTTACCTGAGAGAAGCAGACTTGCATTTTACCCCCCTATCTTTATCCAGCCTACCCGCCCCCTGCAAAAAATAAATCATGTCACACTTATTCTACACTTACTTTATACTGCGAGGCTGTGTTCTCTCTGCCTTATAACAGACTGGGGAGCTATGGCATATACACATTCAGCGCAGCGATATGCTAGTAAAATACAAATATGCAATTTTTAAAAGTTCTTTGAATTGCACATTTTTCCACCTCTAATAAAATATGGAGGGAAAAAATATGGGACATTTAGATTATCTAGTGATTATATAGCTTGCAACATAGACCAGATTTACAGACCATCCCTCCACTTGGCCTCTGGAAGTACAATTTAAAGTAGTGACTGGGTAGGAATTATGAAAAGATGGAAGCACAGATAAATTTGTAAACCACTCCTCCTCCCCTCCCCAATTTTGTAGGCAAAAAATGAGCAGAACAATCTGGACCCCGCCATACATGTTAAAGCCATGCCAAGGAGGCCGTCATGCAGTCCAGAAAAGCACAAAACCAGATGATACAATTTAATCAATTTAGAAAGGTGATCCCCCCAATTGAGAAACTACTATTTTTTTTAAAGCCGAGTCTAAAAGGATTCGAAGGTTCCTACAGAATAGTGACTGAAGATTCAAGATTCAGTGTCATGGGTTATTCATGATACTTTTTTTCTCAGAATGAAGATGGTGAGTCAAAATGTCTATAAGATGGTAGAATGTATGTAAGCAGACTGTTTCTCAAATGAGCCGCCAAGAGGGTCAGAGTCCTCAATGATTACAAAATCTCTGGAACTAAACTGAAACTGAAAATGCCATCATCTATACATGTGTAATATATATTACATATATCTTCAATGTATATTTACACATATTACATATTACATATGTATATATATTTACACATATATATTTGTGTGTATATTACATATATATAAAAAACATGCAAGAGAACACATTTGAGTTGATACCATTGAAAACAATTTTAACCAAGAAAATCAGAACCAGTGAAGCAGAGAAATCAAGAATGGATACAACTGCCAAATGGATGGAAGTTCTTGTGCTATACTCTCCCACTCTCATTTAGAGTCTTTAGAGATGGGAAAACATGGATTACTATTTTCTAAGATGTCAAATCTGTGCAGTCTGTCCCACATTTACATGGCAAGAGAGTGTAGAATGGCTGGAGTACAGATGATTTTGCCCTCCAAAGTTGGGTCTCATACTGATTCTCCCCTATGCCAGAGCAACAGGGACAAGGATAAAAAGAGACTAAAGATTTTTAAAGTGGGAGGAGTAAAAGATAACTAGTATCCATTTAAAAATATGATCTACATAATCTCAAGGCAAGGGTTAAACCTATCACACCCAAAATGTAACTACATTCACGGTCATCCCGTTAATCCCTGCGCAGAATCTGATTATAACAGTCTGTTCCTTTACTGACACAGTATCTTTGCAGCCAATTCCAAGGCAGGGCTAGGAAAGGAGATTAGAACTAGGCCTCACCAAGCATAGCAGGGTCAAAGGTGACACAAAGTCCTAGAAACTGACCTAAAATACTCCCAGTAAAATAGCGGGGAGTTGTGAGTTCCCTGGCTGTCCAAACATACCTACTGAACTCTTCTTTGGGTCTGATTTCAGCCCAGAGCCCAGGAGCCATGCCACTGGTAAGCATTCGTTCTGAGCTGCCTAATTTGACTTCATTGTGCTTGGGCGTCAGTCCAACTGGCAGATGTCCTTGTAGAGGCTGATCTCAGACACTCTCCCTTTCTAATTTTTTGGCACCGTCGCCTCTGTTGCATGGGATATCATCTCTGAAACTTTGAGTTCCCCAGGTTTTGCTTGTTTTGTAGCTTTGGTTTCTCTTAAATCTTTCTGCCCCAAAGAGGCTCATGTGAAATGCTAAATCACTGGTAATTCCTTTGGTGCAAATATGAATTACCAAAGGACTTGCTTGCAAATTTCCAACCACTCCTTGCCTTTTCCCCACCTCCCTCCGAAATAACTTCAGAAGCAAAAATGCAAACACAAGGTGATCATTGTGAACGCTGTACAAACGCACCATTTTCTCTTATAGGTTGGATTTTATAGAATGAAATGCCAGAGCTTTGATATTTATTATCTGAAATAGGTTTAACATTTGGAGAAATGTGTTCAAACACACAACCTTGGAAAGAAAAGCAAGCCGATCGAACAGAGAACAGGGGGTGGGCGGAAAACATGATGGGCACAATTTCGCTATGTGTTGGGCAAAGTTAGAAAATTAGGTCCTTCTGAGCATAAAGAGCTCCCAGATGAGGTAAAAGTTAAATCCAAATCAATTTCCAACCCTCCATGAGGGCCACTAGATATCAGTTTTAAATATACATGACCACGATATCAATAATGAAGAAATCTTATGTTTTATTTAATACTTTGGCCAGACCAGCCCCTTTGAAGGGATCACTAGAGTTGAGGAAAGAAGAACAAACCATCATTCACTTTCCTGCAGGTTCGTCATTTGCCGAATTATTTCTATTGGTCCTGCTTGATTCTTTCTGCAAATTAAGGCGTGGGGAGAGGGTTTCTATGTTAGATTAGCAATGGCTGGTTCTTACCCAAATATTCCGCCTAACAAGGACGTAAGTTCTCATGGACTGGACAACCACTCCGCAGCATTCCTGAGAATTGAATAATATAATAATCTTGAAAGTCAGCAGAGTGGATTATCCACTTTTTTTTTTCTGGACTTGAACTTGTGACCTTAACAGTAGCACTGCAAAAAAGCAAATGTGCTAAGCACTTTGCCAGAGTAACCTTCCATGTAGACTTTTCATCTTAAATACACACAACTGAAAAACAACTACAATTTTTGGAAAATTATGTACAAACCCAATACTTCTTTTGATTACATATAAATACAAATTAGCTATTTTTCCTAAAAAGTGGTTATAATAGTAAATAAATACAAAATAAATCTGACCATTATACTTCATGTGCTGGGGTTGAACCCATATAAAATGTACAACTAAATACATTTTAAAATCTTTAAGGAATAATTCTCTGATTAAAATATTTGTTTTCCCAACTTCTTTTCGTAGATATAAATATATTTTCAAAATAGCTGTGTTTTTTTTTTTCTCCATTCCATTCCATAAATAAAGTCTTCATTGGGAAATATTAAAGTGTCAACTTGGTTTTGCTTTTTTTTTGCTTTTTTCTAAAATATATATATATATATTTATTTTATTTTGCTGTGCTAACGACACCCACAACCCTCCACAACCATGTCCTGATAGTTCTTTAGTACGACCTTTTCATTTTCGTCAAGGTACAGCATGGAGATGGCGCTGAGCTCTGTTGGGACACAGCACGCCTTGGGAATCTTAGAGTTAACTGAGTTGACCAACGTCTGAACAATGGCGTGGTTAGTGGAGTTCAGGTGATCGGCCAGGGGAAAAGGACACTCCCCATGGCAGTAAAAGGCATGATAGCCCGGGGGGGCTACGATCCAGTCATTCCACCCCACGTCACTGAAGTCCACGTACAAAGGGTGTCTCTTACAGCTGGATTTAAGGCGTTTCCGCTGTTTATGCTTTGCTTGACGCTTCTCTCGTTTGTGGAGAGGATGTCCTTTCCCATCGTGGCCAAAAGTTACCAGCAATGGCCTTATTTGTGACCAGCTATGCTCATCTTGGTGCAAAGACCTGCTAATCCTAACGTGTCTCTTGGAGGCACCTCGGTTCTCCTCTAAGTGGGCCACTTCTACCACAAATCCATGGTTGGCGAGGCCCTGGGCAGTCCACCTCATCACAGCAGGGGTGACGTCAAATCTCTCCCACCTGCTTGCGTTCTGGTTCACCAGCCTGGTGTCCAAAAGTCTGGTCACCGGGAACTTCGAGTTGGCTGTTGCAGGTTTTATAATTTCATAAATATTAATTCGGTGATGGAAATTGCTATTGTTTTCCCAAGGGTCTTGCATCTGTTCCCGAAAAACCTGAAGTTCTGCTGAGGTGATAAACTCCTCAGTGGGGATAGAAGTCAAATTAAAGAAGAATCGCCGGGTTGTTTTTCCACTCATTTCTGGCAGTTCTTCCAAAGATTCTAATTTGATATAAAAAGGTGGAAAAAAGAAGGAAAATCATTCAGTGAGATCAGTAAAGACAATCTGATTACATATTAGAATTTGGAAACCTCACTTCAGGGTTTGACTTCACCCATGTTAAAATCTGCAACTAGAAAATAAAACTTTCCCCTTTAGATAAAAAAAGGATTCTCTCCTTTCTGTACGTTTATGGGAACATGCAACATGAAACAAAATTTCACAGTTTATTGTTATGTTTCCAATCCAATCCATGTACAGTGCAACCAGGTGGCTGTAATAATGGGGGAAATGGTGAAGCACTTCTTTGGAATTCACAGACTTTAGGGCAAAAGAAAAAAAAGTCAGCACTATAGTTAGTAGAGGTCTAATGAGTGAGGATTTGAGGAAATTATTGCATTTCTTAAAAAGAAAAAGGCTTTAATGTCAATCCCTTAAGCGGTATTCTAAAACATTACTCTGCAATTTAGATGATTTACAAATCTCGATATACAGATTTCAGGTTCCTAATTAAAGACTCCGAAACTCAACATCAACGATGACATTTTGCAAAGCACACCCTACTATTTTACTCAAAGGTCCAGAGACAAAGGCATTTACAGGGATCTGCTTCTTTGGGAACGTAAGAGTGGTCCTAGGACACTGCAGTAATTAAGGCGAGACAATTTCAAAAGAAATAACTTCCAAATTTTGCCTGTTCTCTCACCTCCTTATGACCTCAAAAATCAAAATCTCATTTTAGATGCTTTTGGGAGAAAAAAAAATGACTCTCTTCTGTTTGTAATTCCTTTATATTTTTTAAAAAAATATACAACTATCCAATAATAGGCTGCAAAACAGATTCAAAACCAAAAAACAATTTTTGTAAAAATCTACAAAAATACTGTTATGATATTCATGATGTAAGGGATAATCTCATCATTCTATACCTATTATCATTATTTCAAAACAGTCATTGAAGTGGGCTGCGCATAAAAGTTCCTTCTGACTGAAGATTCCTTAATTTCAATTTTAAGGAGTCCTGCTTCCCAAGCAAACGAAAACATGACATAGCACCTTGAATGCTGTAGTCTGCAAATCATTAAAGGTACACGCATTATTAAATCGATGGAAAACAGCACTAGGATTTGAGATTCGGGGGTTTATTTTCTTCTAGCTTTACCACATCCTGTCCTTTTCCTCTCCAAAAAATTTACCTGCTTCATTCAGGATCTAACCTAAGTGCTAACAAAATCTATTTGGCCACAGTTCCACCTCCTCACCAAAAGGGGAAACCATATTTTCGTTAATTTTATGATTGTATTTCCCCTAAATCAAACAGCTATACTTTGTTCACAGTATGAGACGCCTCAGCAGAGGAGAATCACCTCAGATCACTCCGTCGACGCTTCCACCTGTGTAAACCTTCATCATCAAAGCCGCAGTCATCATTGTAAGCTTCGTGGAAGCACCGAGTTCAACCAGGGCACTTTAAACCAAATTATAGAGTGATGCTTTAAGGTGATGCTTCTCAAACTTTAACCTCCACACAAAACACCCAGAACACCTTAAATCTGCAAATGCAGATTCTGATTCAGTGGGTCTGGAGTGGGGCCGGAGAGTCAGAATTTTTAGCAAGCTCCCCCGGTGAGGCGATGCTGGGAGCTGGGGGACTGCCCTTGGAGTGTAAAGGTTTTAAAGGATGCTTTGCATATTCAAGTATAGATTGCCAGGAGCATATTTTAAAGTGCTTTTTTGTCAAATGACTTAAAAATGAGTAGAAGACCCATTAGCGCTGGCCAAGGAATGAGAGTTGAGGCCATGGGCGGGCAGCCGGGGACGCAGAAGAGATCTAAAGCTCATCTACTTGGATATCAAGACTCTCGGGCCAAAAAGTGTGCCCTCCATGGTCCCCTCGTGCCTGCTAATCCACACCTGTTGGGGACACCTTTCGGGAGTCATCCACATTCTAAACTTCACTGTAAGCTAAGGTACTTCAGCTGAGGCACTATTTTTAAAATAACCCTCCCACCAGTGGAACCAGGCCCCTCACTGGCTCCAGCAAGCAGCAAGGATTGTATTTAGCTCCTTCTTTCCTCTTCTCCCTGCAATTCAGGAGCCCTCTGATGTTTCCACCAAAGGCATTCTTTCAGCAGAGAAGCCAACAGCTACCAGGACAAAAAGGAGCGAGGTAAAAATCAGCAGCATCTCCCAGACTCAATGACACAAAGCCAGACCTGGGCCTGAGCGACTGACTTCTCTGATACCAGCACACCTAAGAACACTCTCTTCTCTTTTAAAGAAGGGGAAGGTTAGGAAAATTATCCAGAGCATTCGCTGAACAGCTATACTAATGAAGGTGCCCAGAGAAATCACAATGGCAACAAAAACCCTGAACTCAAATCCATAAATAAGAAAAAGAAATTATAAACACACAGACACAGGGACACACACAGACAGCCAGAGGATGACAATGAAGGGACAGTCTCCAAGGAAGGATGGGAGACAGGTAAATGAAGCAAAGAAAATGGGTATAAAAGAGGCATAAAATAGAACAATAACCCTCCAAAAGATAAGTATGAAGATGATATTGAATCATATAAAATTGCCACCGTTCAACCAGATTTGACCCATAAAAACAGCAATTGCATGGGCTTCAAAATCTTAATGGAAGTAGCTGAAAGGATAATCATTTAGCAACCTTAGAGAAGGAGGAAAATTGCACATTAAATAATAACAAGTAACGGGAAGACCTTTCTCCAACTTTCCAGCTGCATCTCAGTCAACCTGTTCCTTGAAGGATCCTTATCCCTCCTTAAGACAAGGGCCTCCATGACCAATGGCACCCCTGACTGCAGACTCAGGTCACAGAGGGAAGTCAGAAGTTCACAGAAAGCCCCAAACCCAGGAAAACAACCGCCCGAGGTTAGACGGCCATCTTTCCCTTTGATCTCCAAGGAGGCAGCGTGAATCTTTTCTTGAGGGTAGAAGAAACAAAGTCTATTTGATATAAAGTAAATTAAAGAAAAACCTTCTGCAAATTATCACAGCAAGCCTGGGGATTCTGATAATACAGAGCATCTACCTAAGTAGGTAATGGATGCTTTTCTGGAGGTTTACACAGTTGTCTATTCTCTATAAATAACCCTTGTTGAATAATTTGAACCTGACAATGGATTTGAGGAGTCCAGCCTATTTTAGAACTGAGTTCCTGAACCCCTAAGTTCTCAGCCAAACAAAGGTAGGCATGGATGCAAAAATGTGGGGTAGTTAAGAAAAACAAGGCAACAATGACATTTGACCTCTCCTCCCAAAGTCAAGTTCTAACTTAATCATCTACATCTTGTCAATTATTCATCTATATCAAAATTATCCAAAAGATGACACTGACTTCCTTCAGCCAGCCCAGGTCCAACCCTTCCCTAGACGAGGGGAGAACGCAACACAAAAGAAGGAAGTCATCGTGATCATGACAGCTAGTGTGCCGAACACCTTTTTGTGCCACATCTGGCACTGACAGCTTTATATAAATTATCTCAGAACAAATTGATTAAGAGGAAGGAACTGTTATCATCTCCGCTTTGTAAATGACAGTTGGAGCTCAGACAGGTTATGTGACTTTCCTAAGGTCACAGAGCTGGGAAATGAAGAGCAGAACTATGAACTAGAGTCTACTGCAGTTCCCAAGTTTCTGGCCACTAGACGGCACTACATAACATACAGGAGGAGTCAAAAACTCCAACAAGTCAAAACCATGAGGGACACATCGATGTTTAATACAACGATACTCATAGGGTGAGTTCTTCCCCAACTAAAGGGACGGAAATATACTACTCAAATTTGGTGGAGAGCAGACAAAACTACAAGAGCAGGAGAGCAGAGTGGCAGGGCCCGCTGGGACACGTAGATCTTGTTTGGAACCACTGATATTTTGTGGCTGCATTTCTGTCCTACATTACGGCAATTTTTGGCAAAAAAGTGAGTTATTTCTATGTTTTGAGAATTTTGCCACACTCTGGGCAAAAAAAGGTCCACTAACGAAACAACCTCAAGGGGGGTTGTTCTAGAAAATCAGTAAGGTTGGAAATCACTGCCCTGAAATAAAATGAAATGAAAGTGACTTAGAATAATGAACAGTATTTTCTAGAATACAAAATAATGGTTATAGAATTGATACATCAAGGAGAAAAAAGACAAAATACGAAAGGTTAAAAGGAATCCGTTCTGTTTTTGTTCTTTAAAGACAATAAAGGAGATGGCAGCTAAAGGGAAGAGGATGGTCATCATCACTACCCCCGATTTGTCTCTGCCCACCCTTGGCCCCAGTGCCTTGGAATGAGGGCATGCTCTCTTATTGTCTTCTGAGTACTTAGTGAAATACACAAAGGGCAAGTTTAAAAAAAGAGACAAAACAGCTCAATGAGAAGGGATCAAGAGAGAATGCAGAGGAACCACGCAAAAAGAGGCAGAACAGAAAATGTTAGTGCATGAACCATCATTGGGCACCAAAGCCACAATCTCTATGAGCATTTCCAAATAGCAGGCTGCTCTATTTAATGGGGCCCTTCATAATCACTCTCAAATGTAGGGGAATGCCAGGGAAACACACCAGGTAGGTACTGGTTTTGGGGGTGCATGTGTCCAAACGCTTTGGCTGCACTGGGAATTTGTGATACAAGTTCTCCTTCACGGGGCAATGGTTGTTTCTTGAACTTTCCTATTATGTGGATATTTTCACGATAATTACATTGGTGGGAACAGGGTTAATCTCCATTTCAAAGCTTTAGTCATAGAGGCAAATAATTCAGTTATTTCATGCAAAAAGAAGACTGTGTCCTTAAGAGCCTGGAGAGCAAGCACGTGATCCTTCTATATTCCGATCTGACAGGAAAGCATAAAGACTTTTTTGCAGGGCTGATGAAGTCAACCAATTTCAATGTGTTTTTAACTAAGGGAAAGCACAAAACACTCTTTCCAGTCGGAGAAGTGATTTTTCTATGCTCAGTGGCAGTTTTCAAGGACCTATGTGGCTGAAGTACTTTTTAATGACTGAAAAAAGAAAATTTTCACAGCACTCGGACTCTGGCGGATGAAAGCCATTGTAGAAAGAAGACAGTTTCACAAGAGAAATGACAACTGCTAATTTTGTCTCAGATCGCCTACCAGGTGGTCACATTATCTTCACACATGGGTTGAAAGAACTCCATCATGATGTCTCTTGTCTCATAATTTCACCAAACCATCCAGAACCTACCCACCAATAAAACCAACAGGTATTTCTTATAATGAGGTCTTGTGGTCCTTTAGCAAATAAATGCCCATTAATGCTGTAGGAACCAAATTCTGCTCTTAAGCCAGCAGCTTAGTCACATGGTTTACTAAAAGATTTTTAGTGCCATGCATGCCACACAGATATTTATAAAAACCAAATCCTGCCTTACACAAAAGAAGAAATGGTCTTCAAAAAGTGTAATATGTGACCTAATGATGATACACAGTCATAACAAGAAAAGAAATGGATTTGTTGAAATTTGGGGCAAAAATTACATAGCTTTTCTCTATCATCTAATTGCATTAAGACCTGAAGTTACCGCAAGTTGATTTTAAGGAAGCTGGAAACTTCTGTACTATTTTGCACATAACATTTACACTTTTAAAGATATAAATTCTGACTTACAAATTCAAGCATGCTATTTAAGTTAAAATAAGACACTCAAATAATTCGCAGCCTGTTCAGTTTTGATCAAGCCACTTCTAGAGGAAGAAACGTGCAGACTCCACGGAAGGAGTCCTCACGCAGCTGAATGTTGTAGGTGTCAAATGACTTAAAAGTTCTTCCCTTTAAGTTATCAGAGACACACAGTAGCTTCCTGGCCTTAAAAATAAAGTTAAGAATGGTTTCCATGCTAAATTTCCAGGAAAGGTGGCTAACACAGCCATTCCTGTTACTTTTCTCTCCAGAAAAACTATTCTCATCAGCATGAGCTGGGAACGACGAGCTAGGTCTCAAATCATCCCAGCGCTACGCTGACAGGATGTACACGACGAAAAGTTCTCTACATATGACAACTTCTGCTTTCCCTCGATGAGGCCTAAAGGAGTAAAATGAGATCTTACTGCCTTTCAAATCTGACTCTCCCAGCAGAGAGCACCTCACTTAGAAATGTGCTGGAGAATTTATTGATTATCAGTTCTGTGTCCCCTTCATAATGTATGGCTTCCTTGATGAAGAAATACCTTTTGTTATGTGACCTGCCTTTGGGACTACCTCTCACTATCAAGTGCTGTTCTCACAAGGCTAGGTCATCTTACACACTGGGAGAAAATGTGTGGCTGTGACATTTCTGATTTGTGTATATCAGAGCGCAGATTTCCACTTGAAATTTACCAGCTCATCAGGGCAAGGCAACAGAAAGGGAACCTCACTCCCATCTCCCCAATATCCTACCAGTGGTTGCCCTGTGATATACAGCTCTGTGCCCTTCTCTAGAACTTGAAGGAAACCTGTGCTCTTATTTATAATGTATTAAGCCAAAGGGGCATATAAAAGTATAGAAAAAGAATTGAGATGGAACATGTTTTTAACTAATTGCTCTAACAACTTGGGTACAACAGATTTCAATAGCTGCTCTAAGACATTTCAAATCCACTAAATGCCTTTCTGATGAAACAAGCAGAAATATCCTACCTTAGAAAAACCACATCCAGTATCATAAAAGAAAAAAAAAGTCCACAATGCACATGAAGGAAAACAGGCAGCTGCTGCAAAAGCTTTTATCTGAAGGCTTGCCTTGTCTCTACTGGGGAGTTCATCTCAGATTTAAGCACAAGACAAGAAAGTCATTGTGGAAACAGTAAGATTGATTGTGGAATTGATCTCCCACGGGGATTAGATAGGGATTCAAAATCTTCCCAACCAGGCCCAGATCAACTGTAAATTAGAAAGACTTTGGGGCCCTGGGCTTTGATTTTTCAATACTATCTCTGAAAATTCTGCCCTTGACTCTGTCTAGTCTGAAAGCCCAGCCGAAGCAGGAGCAGCAGATTTATAGAGTGAAGGTTTCCAAACAGACTTCAAGAGATCCCAATCGCCCCCTCCTTCTCTTCTTCCCCTGTGGAATTCTTGCACGGTTAGCTGACTAGGGGCAAGCCTTTCGCCCTCATCTTCCCCATCACTTGATTTCTCTCCAATTCCTGGAGGAGGAGTCGCTCTTCTGGCTGCAAGCCAGGAAAAGGGTGAGGATTTACCAAAGGGGAATCCCTGGCTCCCCCGCCACACAGGCAGCGCGTGAAAGCCAGGTTCCAAAAGGTTCTTCCAGAGGCAAGCATGGAAATGTCTCTGGCGCCCTGGCCAGGCTGCCCTTCCAGGGATGCCTGCCGTCCGCCCAGGCGGGCGCTCCACGGGCTGCCTCCCCGCCCCGTCTCCGCCCCCCTCCCTGCCCCTCGCCTCACCTTCGTGGTGGAAGCTGCGCACCGTGTTGGCGAGGCTGGCCGCCCTCTCCAGCCGGTGGTCCGGGGCGGGCGCATCCGGCTGGCCCGAGTGCCTGCGGTACAGGTCCAGCATGTAGGGGGGCACCACGGCGTCCCTGCTGGGGGTGGGTCTCTGCTTCAGGCCGAACATGCTGAGCAGCCGCAACTCGAACTCGCTCAGGACGTCGTCCGAGGGCTGCGACGAGGAGCGGCCCGTCGACGCCGCGAACTTCCTCCGGCCCAGCTCGGGTATGAGGCCGGCCGCGCCGCCCAGGAGGACCTGGGGAAGCAGCAACGCTAGAAGACAGTGGGTCCCGGCCACCATGGTCGACCTGCGGACAGGGCCGACGTGAGTCACCGAGCTCCCCGCCCAGCCCTCCCCCTTCCGCCCCCGCGGCCCCGGCTCCCGCTCCGTCCGCTTGCTTCCTCCTCCAGGGTTCCCACCTGGCTTGCAACAGTTGCGAGGCTACTTCGGAGGAGCTGAAGCCCGAACGTTTCTGAACCAGAAGGCTTCCCCTTTCCATCCCACTCTCAATCCGTCTGACGTGATTTGCACACACCCCACCCCCACCCCCACCAGCGCACCAGCGTCAATGGCTGTCACCTTTTTTTCTGTGACACTCGCGCCGACAGCCAGTTAAGGGAACCTGAGGAAACCACCGCTTGGTCTGACACCCCACCGTCCTCTAAACAAACCCAGACACACACTGCCCAGCTCTCGCTTGCATAGAAAGACGCACGAATGGTGCATGTGACTTCCTCAGAGGCACCGTATAGAACTTCCTGATACACACAGTCTATAACTTCCAGACCCAGGAAACTCAAGGCCACAACTTCCGAAGCCACTTGCAACTTGTGGCCCACGCCTCTAACTTCAGGGGTGTCAGGACGGGCCACTCCATCCCCCAACCCCTCCTAATGAAGTCAAGATACACATGTATCTTCCTGGGATTACGTAAATGGCTAATAACTATTAATTCACGTGTCAGTAACAAGGTGGCACTGAAGTACTGCCCCCCTCACATTCCTGGAAACAAACTTCCAGTATTTTCCCAAATGGGACGTGGCGCTGAGTAGAGAGCAGGTCTCACGGAGAAAACCGAATGGAGAAAGGATCGCATCGCCATGGCAGGGCGTACAGGTTGGCAGCTAACGGGTAAAATCCAGGGGCCACCCTCTGGAAGGGATTTGACCTTTTTTTTTAATCATCTAAGTGTTAACAGCCCTAATAAAATGCCGAAAAGAGGGGAGGGAGGGGGGCGGAAGAGCGCGAGCCGGGAGGGCGAGGCTGACGGGTCGCCGGGGGCGGTAGGACTGGGGCATCCCCGCAGGGGCTCGGCTGCACGTGGACCCGAAGCGGGGTCTGTTTACGTCCGGCCAGGCCGGGCCCCGGGAGGGGCTCAGCCGCCGCGGCCGTCCGGGCCCCGCCACCACCCCTCAGCCCAGCCCGGGGCCCACGTCCTCTACCTTTAGGAGACCGCAGCCCGTCTAAGAAGCACGCGGGGACACGTCCATTGAGAGAGCCTCCACATGGAAAAAGCTCTGGCCGAAGGTGCTGGCGCAGGGACCGGTTCCCTTCCCTCGCCTCCTCCTCCTCCTCCTCCCGGCGGCAGGCCGGGCAGTGCCTCTCTTCACGCCGGGAACGGCGTCTCGGGGCCGGGCCCAGCCGCGGAGTGGAGGGGCGGCGGGCTTCGGAGGCGGCGAGGCTGCGGCCGCGGCGAGGCTGCGGCCGCTGGGGCGACGGCACCGGCGCAAAGTGGGGAGCGCAAGTTATTCTCCCTGCAAGTTCAAGAAGTCTCCAGCCAAGTGCTGACACACAACAACAGCGAGCAGGGGGAGGAGTGCGGGGCAGGGAAGGGAAGGGAGAAAGGAAAAGCTGCTGTGCTCGTCGTCCTTAGGAACCAGCGCCCGCGGGACGCGGGGCCCGGCGCGGGGCCGGCTCCGGGACTCGGGGGGCGAGGGTCGGGCGCTCCGCGCTAGCTCCGCCGCGGCCCATGGCTCGGGGCTGCCATCCTGGGCGACGCTGGGTCCGGGGAAGGGCGCAGCGGCGATCTCGGTGCCGGGCGAGCCGCCCCCCCGCATCACTCTGCCTTCCTCTAGCGCGCCCCCATTAGCGCTAGCCAGTTGAAACCACCGCGGCTCCGGCGCTCCGGCGTCCTCGGGCGCATTCTCCGGCGAGTCGAGCTGAGTCCCAGGCCGCCGAGGCGGGTGGCCGCGCTCTCCCCTCGCTCGCCTAGCCCCCAGGCCAAGCTGCGGTGCCCTTTGTGGCCAGTCTGGAGTCCGATCACACCTCGGCCGGCGCGTCCCAGGCCCCCGAGTTCCGGCGGGAGGGCATCGGCATCGCGGCGCTCGCGCTCGGCTCCCGGCTCCCCGTCGCTCTGCGCGCCGGTCCTCGGCTCTGGCGCGGCCCGGGCAGCCGAGGCCACGGCGCAGCGGCGCGCACGGCCGGGCGCTCCAGCCCGCGCGGGGTGTGCGGCGCGCGGGTGCCTCGGAGCCCCCGTAATCCGCGAGGCGCTCGCCCCGGGGTCGCTGCGGCGGCTGATGTCCGGCGGCGGCCAATCCCCAGCGGGTGTGGGAAGCGGAGCGGCAGGCGCAGCGCGAGCCGGGCGCAGCGGCGCGGCGGGGCGAGGACTCCGGCGGCGGCGGCGGCGCCGTGGCGCGGCGCTCGCGGCTTTTAAAGGGGACGCCGCCTGCCGTCTCCCTCCCGGCAGGCAGAACACCTCCCCCTCGGCGGCGCGGCTTGCCGGGGATCCCCGAGCGGGCGGGAGCGGCGCGCAGGGGTGTGGACCGAGCGCCGGGGCAGCCGCGGCGGGGTGGGGCCGAGGGCGGGGACGCGCGGCCGCCGTTGGGGGCGCTCGCGCCTCCAACCCCTGCACTCCAAGGGGAGGAAAACTGGAGCGCCAGACCCTCGCTGGGACTCCGGGGGCGAAATCCCAGACAAACACCGGGTAGAGCCTTTATTTCCTCACCCGGCCCGTTATTCAACTTTCAGTTTGAAGTTTTTCGGTCATAGACGATTGAAAAAAAAAAATGAACTTAGCCAAGTTCCAGGGCATCTTGGCATAGACTTGGGTAGACACTTCTGTGTTTCCCCGGAGTGGGAGGAGGATTAAAAGAAAACTAGAGATTGGAAAGTGGGTGTTAAACTCTAACACACAGATATATGTATTACATATGCAAATATATGCATACGCACTTACATTTAGAGAAATATATGTATACATTTATATTTATATAAATACGCACGTATTTATTATATTCAGATATTTATGTAATATACTAATATACCCGCGTTTGTTTCTATAAATATACCCATATATAAATATACGCTAACGAAGGCACACATTTCTATACATATATGTCGATATATGTGAAATTGACGTCATCCTGCCGCACATGACTCGCACAATGTGCACTGTGTGTCTGCGGCAGCGTGAAGAGAGGATGTGAGGGGTTTTATTTCTTTTTATGGTAGCTATCACTTCATGCCTTGTGATATTTATCTCGCCCAGCTCAGAGGCAGGCGATTAGCAGCTCAGGGGAAGGCAAAATAATGCGGCGTGAGCCAAGCGTACAACAATTCCGCTTTGAGGCCTCAGCACTCTCCGCCCCACCCCCTTCCACCAGGCCCCAGCCTCAGCTCTAGGACTCGTGGTCAAGTCACTTGTCTTCCTCAACTGAAATAGTCCCCAAATCTGCGCCATGAGTTTTGAGGCCAAGGCTTTCCATTCCTCCTAGGATTCCAGAATCCTCCGTGCATAGCAGAACAAGGTTGCCTAAATGATCCCAGAAGCTACCGGCAGAAGATTTTCGGAAAAGCCAAATCGGCAAAATCAAATTTGCCTGCACAGAACCTTCAGCCTGCAAAGCAGAAGGAGAAAAGTCTGAATCGGGAGCTCATAACAATCTATTATACATGTGTATTATTTTTTCAGTTGGGAAACTAAAATAATTCTAGGTTCCGCTCACGTAAATCGGATTAGCAACCCACAGAGGGGAATTAGGCACTGCTGTTTCTGAAAGTATAAAGGTCAAATAAGGTATTTCGGAGGAAGCCTGCCTACTAGGAAAATAAATTGGGGGCGGGGGGCAAAATATTCAGGAACATGCTACTTTATTCACTGAAAATGAAGCGCTGTGGAAGTTGATTGTCACTCTGAATCACTGGACACCAAACTGGCGGGCATTAGAATATATTCTACTCGTAGACATTGTCAAAAAGTGTTTATTGTGCTTTTGAAACTATTTTCTTCTCTCTCAAGTTTAACTGAGAAGTTAACAATTGTTTCTGTCATCAGTGAGATTTAAGAAAAAACTTATATAAGACAAAAATCAGTATGTAACCTTTAAAGAGGAGAAAGTTGATAGCTGTTGGATGCTCTTCAAGTAAACATGGAAAATAAACCTCTGGGGCTGATATCAAGGATGCCTTGCAGCTTTAGGCCTTCATAACTTGTGAAATGGCAACCTTGTCAGTTTATCCAACAATCTTTGACAGTCAACAAGCTAAGCGGCTATTGGCTCCTCTGCACACTCTATGTCATTTTAGTGTCTCCCATCACCGTACCTCGTTTATGTAGGATACGTGATTCCTGAGGGGCAGACAGTTGCCTTTCCCAAGCGAAACTTCCTAAATTTTGATCCTATTTCTCTCTTAAGATGCAGGCTCTCTAGTTGTTTTTTAGAGATGGCTGCCCTCTTGTGGTGGAAATGAGTTCAAACGCTTGGGAGAAAGAAGTCAATAAATACAGAAGTAAATAAGTAAATAAATAAACAAACTCCAAAGACTGGTTTGGGGTACAAACTACAGGAAGACCATACCTACCCACTTTCCAGGCAATAGGAATGATTAAAAATGATACATTTAAGTGGAGATGACCTCTTTTTATTCTCTTTGCTAATAGCCACGTTCCCCCTGCAACTCAAAAAGCAGGGTTGTTACTCTGAGCGTATGTTTGCCTTGAAAATATCACTTACTGCTAGTCATGGTCAACTCTACTTTTTCCAAAGGTTCATTAAAAGTTTTTCAACCCATAAGGTGAGATTCATTCTTTTTGGGTGTATCAAATTTGGTCTCTCTGCCAGATGTGGGGAGTGACGAGAGTGGGGATGGGGGGTTGTTTAGGGGAGGGGTGATGGTAATGGCAAATTCAGCTACCTCAGAGGGGACAGGCAAGTGACGTAAAAGAGCAAAGCGTCCCAGGTAAGGATTCTATCTAAAGGAGGTTGCTGCTGTTCCCTTCTAATGAATTCTTGCCAGTTTTCCAAGGGATACCGGAAATCCACATTTGATTATGTGTGGACACGACCTGAGATGAAATTAAGTGCTTAAAGAGTCATACTTTGGCAACTTTTCCTTTAGCAGTTCAGCCCAGATAATGTTTAATTTTATTGCATCCTGCAGCTATTAGCATTCACCATTGTTCCTGGTAGGCTAACCATTATGCAAATTAACATTAAAATGATGATCCTCACATATTGTAAAGGTCACAGTGGGCATTAACTGATCCATCTACTTTATAATTGTCATTCCACTGAAACCCGTGGCAACTCCCCTGAGAAACCTCTTAGCTTTTTGGGTATCCATCACTTTGTTACTAGTGTGACACCCAAGACTAATTCTGCTTACTTCACGGATGAAGTTCTTTTGCAGGAACCAGGAGCCACAGCAAAAGAGCAGCACCTAGTCAATCACCCTTGTACCTGTTTGATGTATGATTAGATGTGGTAGGAAGGACGGGCAGGGCGGAGGGACGTATTTGTAAAACTAGCCCTAGCAGGCCAGGTCAGGGTTATTAATTTTAGGCAAATATTAACTACATCTTAACAATAAAGAGAGAATGAATTTTGCGAATTGACTAGATTTTAGGATGCACACAGTGGCATTCCATAAACATGTTGATCACAGCCCAACACATAGTTGAATGACTTAGACTCCAATTCTGGCTTGGCTGGCTGGTTGGATTTAGAAGTCATCTCATGGCCTCATCTGTCGATCAGGTTACATGTATGTTCTGCTGCCTCAGACGGCATGATGAAGGTCCAGAGCATAATGTGTGCGGACTTGGAGAATTTTAAAATGCTGTACAAACACAGAATCCTGACTGCTACTTACTCTGTGTACCTTTAAATTTATTTTTCAGCTTTCTGCCTAAAATACTATGGCCTGATTTTGAGAGATGGGACTTTGTATGCCGTTCTTTTTTTTTTTTTCTAACAGCTTTTATCACATTGCCAAACAATGGGTATTTCTCGTCAGAAAGGTCACCACTTGGGTTGATCTAAGGCAATAACAAATTCTTATAGACTCAGCTCCCTCCCTCATGAATGATATGTAGAGATGAATAGCCGATCTCACAGAGCTGTTGTGAAAAATAAATGAGAAGATATGTTTCAAGACAAAAAAAAGTTGCAAAATTTGAATTCAATACACATGCAAATTAAGATCATTGGTTCTTGGAAGACCGATTTTATGTTATTTTCTTTTGCATTTGGTAGATGCCAAAAATGAAAGTTAAATGAACACATGCTTCTGAAAAATAATTATGGTCTTCCAATAAGCAGTTTTAGATATCCATTAAATATTATCTCATTATCACGTATCAATATATTTGCATATCTTGTCAATGATATTTAAATGTTTTGATCTTGTATTAATGAGATTGTGAAGAGTCAATGATAGAATTTCTCTTTACATATCAAGTCTCCAAATATTCAGTGAGTAGCTATTATGCCCA